AGATAGATAGATAGATAGATACTTTATTTATCCCGAGGGAAATTCAAATGACCAGGATTTAAACCAGAACCCACAAATGAAGCGATGCTGAGCAAACCACAATCCTGCAGCCCCGTGCAGGTGTCTACTATATCTTATACAAACAGTATGTGCAGTGAAATGTGTACATTTGTTCCATGTTAACATACTCAGAGATACTTGGTGTGCTGTGATGTACAGATGATTGTAAAGCCTCTTGAATTGAATTTGTGATTTCTGATATTTGGCCTTATAAATAAAACACACAATCAGTTGTATGTGTACATATATATATATCTTATATATCTTACATGACACAAACTGAATGTACTCTTATGATGTTATATATAGAATACACCACATTTACCACGTATCCTTTAAATACACGTATGATGACAAACAATCATTCATATTTGGTTACTGCTTAAATGCATCTTAATATAATAACATTCATTGTATACTTAATGCTGCTACATAGAAGAATAACCATATGTAATCATTTGTGTCTAGGCTATGTTAGTAATATTGTATGTTTTTTATCATGTAAGATATATCTTGACACGTGTTATATTGATTTATTCCATATATGGAGGCATCTTGACAAACAATGTGGCTGTTGCAAATGATGTAAACATACTAATCATGTCATCGTCTGGTTGGAATATCCCCTTTTTTTTTTTTTTAAAGATTGCAAATAAAACTTATTTTTCCCCCTCACACTTTGTTTGCCTGAGTCTTTCATTCGACTGACTTTCATATGATATCAGCTCATCCAAAAATTACATAACCCATGGTGGATTATGATTTAGGTTGGTTTCTATCCCCTCCTCATCCTCAAAGTGTCTCTGCATAACATCTGCTTCAGGGCCTGTCAGTACAACAGGGCACATTTCACAGGGATGCTGAGACTGTACCACAAAATATATTTAAACTATATCAGACCATTCATTATATATTGCAGTAACACTGTAGGCATATCAGGATAAAAACACACGTTCCTTATAAACTATTCCACATCTATATTAGCGTTAATAGCATTGTTATGAGTATTACAGCAGTATCCTGTTGGACAGCAGACTGCAGCAGATTACTGCGATGCTCAGATGAATGTGCTGACTCCTTGCCCCTGTTGGGGGGGGAAAAAATAAATAAATAAAACTTGCGTCTGTGCTGAGTCATGCATTGTAGCTCACAATAATGATATCAATAGTCAGGGCTGAGTATACTTTGAACCTACACGTTTTCCACGGTGTGCTCCGCGGTGCATCACGTATGTCTTCAGTCTCATCCTGAGCTTTCAGCGACATCACGGCCGGAGAGGAGCCAGCTGTGCGCGGCTGCGGGATCTGTCCTACATCTCAGCCTTATGATGATTGCTGCGGCGTTTTTGGTCCTGCTGAGGCCGTACAGTATTCAATGTGTGCTGCTATTATTGCTGCTTTTGCTCGGGACTATAGCGACAATTTTGTTTTTCTGCTGCTGGCATCGCAGGCTTCGCAATGGAAAACATCCAATAAAATCTGTGCTCTCCGGACGCACCAAGAGCCGCGGTGAGTAGCGCAGGAAGGCCAGCCGCATCTCATCCCCTCATCCCCGACCTGCTCATGTCTGTACACCGCATGTTCTGTATGTATTCATAGTCGGGTTTATCTCTTCTAGCAAGCAGCAAAGTCACTAGCTTTGCCCTATATCTGCAGTATGGGCTGCAGGAGGGAAATCAAACACCTCCTCGTGTAGGCGTTAACTGTGAAGACACTAAGATGTGGTGTTATGAGTTTGTAGCCTTAAAATATCTAGAATTATTGTCAATTCTTTAAATGTCTAGAGTTGATTTCTGACATGCCATACTTTATGTTAGATCCTACCTCTTTCTAACATCTGTTATCTGTCCTGTAGTTGGCCTCCGGACACATCATTTTCGATCAGAGGTAGGATGAACTTTTTTCATTAAGGGTTTGAGTGAGTCCTCTGTAATGTTTAATGGCTGTATGGAAGCAGGAGTTCAATATGTAAACGCCTTATGTGCTTTAAGAGCTTTTCAGTAATAATAATAGGAGAAATGCTTGACCCAAAAGCCTGTTTGGACTTTTACACAACTGCATGACTATTTTAAGGAGCATGATGTGCGCAATGCGCATGTGTTATCAATAAATAATGTAGGTGATGTTGCAGTTTCATCCTTTAAGGAGAGATTAAACTCTTTACAGCGTATTCTTAGAAACAAACTGAGGTGTGAGTGAGTCGACAGAAACCCACTCTATGTTGTGATGCTTTAGATATATTTACAATCATGTTTGATGCTTAAATGCGTCAAGTGACTCTTCAGTCCATCTGCTTCCGTTTTGCCCACTTTGCTTTCAAAATAAAACTACGAAAATGTACAAGTAGATCGGAATGCATGAAAACAGAGTAAAACCACTATAACCTTTAAAAGTGATCTTGATTAAATGTTTTATATTATGGCCAAATCTGTCTGAGTATGTTTGCATGTTTGATCTTCCCGACATAGCCTATGGCAAGGATTGTAATTTCATTAAAACTATAAAGGGGTTGGTGAATAGTAATTATAGCAAGTCTCAATAAACGCCTAAAAATAATTCTTTTACTTTTATGACTCTGGGGTTTTGAAGTTTCAAAACAAAAGCTGGTCTTCCTTTGGAGGTTATGTTATTGAACCACAGGACACTGAATCCTCTACCGGCTCAGTACTGTAGCTGGTAGGGATTCAGTATCATGTTCAAGGACATAACAGCAGGACAGCTGCTGAGCCTTAATGTTGAACAACAGTCACTGACCATTTCCTTCCATATCAAGTCCAATAATAAACAGTTCTTAAAGAAAGACTCACAGAGGGTCTAAAGAAGAGAGACGATTGATAAAAATGTCAAAATTTTACACTGAAAGGTTCCTTATCCTGTAGTGATTGAGGTTGCTGTATCATCTTTCTCAAACATGTCTGACTGTTGAAAATTTAGGTCATATACCACAGCAGTGCGCTCCCTAGCTTAAGAAACCTGAATCACATCACAATCATTATTCATGTTATAATGAGAGGTTTTCAGTTTCTCTTGCCAAGTCTGCTGAAGGCCTAAATCTGTTGCCAGCTTGACTGTTGTCCGTATTTCCCAGGGCTTCAGGCACAGTCCACGTCACGCGAGAAGGAGCATACATGCTCGAGTGACAGAGGAAAAGCCCAATCTGGTCGAGATTCCTGAGAGCGAACCGGAGTCGTCATCGGGTCTAAGGAAACGCAAAGTGAAGAAGAGAGTCCTGCCAGAATTTTACCAGTCTGTACAAGTCACTCCCACACGCAAACCTGTAGGTACCCCCCCTTAACTGTTACCATGATTAATTCTGATACTATTTTATGCTTGCTCTCCTCTACAGGGGCATCAGTGTGCCTTTTGAACCTGGTAAGGATTCAGTAACTTGCACAAGGACACAGGAAAGTGTTTGTCTACAGTGTTAAACCCTACTCTTGAAGGATGGTCGGTTAAAGGTGATATGAAGTCATTACCTTGTATTGCTGTTTGTACTGTTATTGATCATAAGATGACAAATATGGATAAAAAAAGGGATTTTACTTTAGAAGAAAATGGGGATCTCAAAGTAATTTTCAAGGGACTATATACTTTTATTTGGAATGAACAATTCAACATTTCTATATTAAGTAATCTAATTTTGCTTTAAATGTCCAATGTGTAACAGTTTAAGATAATAAAAACACGATTCCTATATTCACGTTACTTATGAAAACATAATAATTTTTTATAAAAAATACAAGTTTTGTGTTACAAGAAGCATTTGTTAATCACCAACTTAAAACATAAATTTGGCTAATATAAAGTGACATATTTGTAGGCATACATATCTTACATAAGCAGATCAGTATTTAACTCATTCATAAATCTATGCATCATTCTAGTTGGTCACAAGTGCATAACAAACATGTTATTGTATCAGCTCTTGACTGATTTTACTGATTTCCAGTTTGAATGTCAAATGTTTCTTCTCCATTTGAATAGATATCTGTTCATTTAGTTTGTTGTGCTCTTAGTTGACATGCTGCTACGTGTCCTCTCTAATCCATTGTAAAGCTGTTAACAATTTACCATGTTGGCATGGGAACATAATACACCCTGTGAATTACGTGGCGGCGCTGCTTGCAAACAACAGTGTGCTCTCCATAAATACTTTTATCAGTGTCAGATAGTGCAGTTAAAAAATAAGGTGAGGAGAGAGAGACAGTAGAACACGTGACCCATATATTGATCCATTTCTTCCTGGAAAGGATCAAGCAACTACAGGAACATAGAGCTGAAGAAACACAGAGCCTCAGCTGGAAATGTGTACTTACTGGAACAGAAACCATACAGGACCCCTTTGGTTTG